GGGGACGTGTGCACGGCGGTAACGGCCGAAACCACAGCAAGTCCGTGAACTCAGAGATGTGAGCGTTACACAGAGGGACCGAAGCAACACCTGTCTCAGGAGTTAGAGCAGGCGGTGCGGCAGAGATGGGCCGGCGTCAGAGTCAGGGCGGCGCCCGCGCAGGCCGGGTCAGGGTGGGGACCTCGGGGCCTCGGGGGCGCCGGCCTGACGGAGCCCAGGTGAGCAGAGGTCTCTGCAGACTTCTGAGATCATTCTGTGCAGCTTGAAAATGGGTATAGAAAGCAGAGATGGTGCAAATCGACTTTGAATAGTTCGAAGAAGAGAAGCGGGAGGTGCACGTCCCACAAGGTCCCCCGAACGTGGGATCTGGCGCCGCCCCTCCTGCGCGCACACCCACGGGGACTGAAAGCAGGGTCTCGCAGAGGTGCTCGTCCACCCACGTTCACGGCAGCATCACTCACAAGAGCCAAGGGCTGGGAGCAACCCAAGCATCCATCGATGGACGCACGGATAAACAGTGTGGTCCATCCGCACAGCAGAATATTATTCAGCCTTAGAAAGGGGGAAATTCCAGCACGTGTCACGACACGGGTGAACCTCAGGGACGTGATGCCAAGCGGAACAAGCCAGACGCAAGAGGACAAGTCCTACATGACTTCACTTACGTGAGGTCCCCAGCACCGTCAAAGCCGCGGAGATGGGGGGGCGGCGCTGGGAGGGGGTGGGGGTCAGTGTTTAACGGGGACAGAGTTTCCGTTTTTTAAGATGAAGAGGGTTCTAGAGAGGGGTGGTGGTGACGGGTGCACAGCAATACGAAATGCACTTAGCGTCACGGGCCTGTTCGCTTAAAAACGGTTCACGTGGTAAACTTCCTGCGATGGTGCGTACTTTACCACAGTTGGAAAGCTTCATTTATTTTGTTGCTGTTGGGGGGAGATAATTAGGTTTGTTTGTTTATGCATTTTTCTTTAATGGAGGTGCCAGGGACGGAACCCAGGACCTCGTGCACGCGAGGCGTGCGCTCTGCCACTGAGCTCTACTCTCCCCCACACAAATGAAGAATTTTAAATGTTTTGTGATTTTCAAAAGGTGAGAGAGATTGGTAGTAGGGTGGTGGGGCATCCTCAGGACAAGACTCTCTGCAGGTGGATGGGGCACCTTTGCAGGATGGAAAGGATCGTGGGGGGGGCATGCGGGGGTGGGTGGGGAGCAGAGGGCAGGGAAGGTTCCTGAAGAAAGGGTAGCTCTGAAGAAGAGGAGGAAGACATCCTTCCCTGAGGAGATGAGACAGGTGGTGACATGGAGGTGACATGGTCAGGATGAAAGAGGTCAGGAGGCCACGGCCATCTGGGGGCACCCATCGGCCTGTGCAGCACAAATACGGACCACTGGGCAGAGCTGGGTTTCCAGGGAGACAGGAAAGGACCTGCCACCTTGGGGAAGGAGGGGCCGGGCCAGGCGACACAGAGGCTGCAGTGAGCAGTCCTCCGGCCCAACTGGCCGGCTTCCCTCAGCAGCCCGAGGGCCGTCTCGTCCAGGAGGGGATGAAACGCGCTTACACGGACCGGCAAGAGAGGCCCCAAACCCAGCAGCTGGCACGCAGCAGGCAGTGTGGTGGTCTCCAGGTAGCATGGGTGGAATGGGACGGAACAGTATAAAGTGGAATGAGGTCAAAAATCCCATGGGAAACCTCTCTGTATTACTTCAAACAACAGAAATGCACCTGAGTTCCTGAAAAGCCACAGCCTTCGGGCGTTGAATCGACGCCATGTGGCACATAGGACACGATCCCGGCACAGGAAGAGCCGCACTTCCTCAAGGACAGGCGCACACCCATGTCCCCAGTAACTCTGTCGTTCCCATCGCCCACAAGGACAAAGCGAACGCAGAGAGAGCGCTGGCTCCGGGGGAGCAAGGCGAACGGCTCATCCCCCAGGGCACAAAGCGCAAACACGGTCTCTCGAAGCGCGGATGTAAGCGCGGATGTGCGTTTCCAGAGACAGCAGAGCGCTTCATCTCGCTAATGGCTGTCATCAAGGTAAGGGACAACTGGCCAGTTTGTCCCCCTCCTCCAAAAGGACACGCTGTAAGTCAGAAGCACCCACAGCTGCCACACACGCATCTCTGAGGGCGACACCGGCCCTCAGAGGCCCTGGCACCCGAGGTCAGTGCTGTGTCCATCCCCCCCACCGCCCGGTGGCTTTCCCCCGGGAGCTCAAACATAGTCAGGAGAAAAGGCACGCTGGGGAGAAAACTGCTCACTCCGGCCGCCACCAATCCCACCTAGGTTTCTCTGCACAATCATACAGACGATGGAACAGTCCTCGTTGCAAAACAAACCGAAGAACAGAAATGAGGGCGAATTCGCTTCAACTCACCAAGTGGTGCCGGAGATGGACAGTGACGAGCGGGGACCCCGACAGGTTCTGGGAGAGCCTGGGCGTCGGGGAGACCTCCAGGGAGATCAGGTGGCTGGCGGCAGACAGCAAGCAGCTTTTGCAATGTGCTGCCCCAGCGATCCTTGGAAACAAAGGGAACATCGTTACAAATCAGGGTTTTCAAAGGGGCGGCGTGCCGCTGGGGCTCAGGTTTAAAATACGCAGAAATGAACCCCTGTGCTGTACACCGGAAACTGACACAATACTGTAAATCGACTGTGCGTCAGTAAAAAACATTAACGCGAAGCCAGATTTTTGAGACTGAAGTCTCGGGTTGGCCTTTTATTTCTGTCATCCAGGACGTGGCTCTCTCTTTAAGGCTTGAAGCTGGGGCCAAAGGTGAGACGGAACCACTGACCGCACAGCGCCTATAATCTAGCAGAAGAGGGGGAGGTGGCCCGTGGAGTGGGGACGGCAGAGAAGCCAACACAGTGAGTCGGAGCCTCCGCAGGCCCATACCTGGCTGTGTGGCCTTGGGCAAGTGACTCCCCTGGTGGAACCTCGCTTGCCCTGATTGTTAACCAGTGTGGGGAGAAGTCGTGTGAGGGACACCTGCTGTCCTGTCACCCAGGATCCCATCATTCTCCTCCCAAAGAAGGGACCTCAGCTCCCCTCCAGGTGACCACCCTTCCCCACTTCCAGCCCGTGTGCTTTGGAAGGGACTCCCTCCTTGACTCAAGAGTAAACCCTGCTGTCCAGGCCTGAATTAATCAGAGCACTGCATTCCTCCTGGGGGTTTTCAGAGATGAGCACATGAGCCAGGAAGATCCCAGGAGGAGCAACAAGGTTCAGATGAGAAATCCTAGATCAGAGAGTCTCACGTCTCTCTGCTATATGTCAGCCCTGAAGCATGAGGTCTTGGTGGTGGCTTATAATCAGGAGCGGACAGACTGACTGGGAAGGGAGTCCACATTGCAGAAGAGCTGAGAGATCGAGCTGAGCGACAGTAACTGGATGCTGGATCAAGCTGCTCCTGAAGCCACCCTACCCGTGCACTTTTCAGTTTACATGATCCAGTAAACTCCTCTTCTGCCTAAAATAGCTCGAGCTGGAGCTTTCTCTCACTTACAACCCAATCAAAAGAACCCTGACTGATATACATGCCACTTGTCTTCTGGAGTCATGAGGCTGGAAGGATACTCAGGGCCAGGCAAGCAAGGAACCTGGGGGGCAAGATCTAAGGAGGTGCTCACGGTCAGGGTCTGGCACAGGCGGCCCTTGAATGAGTCCCAGACTGGGCACTGCTCAGAATGCCGTGCTCTAGGTGACTGCCTGCCTCGCTCCCGTCTGGCCCTGCCTAGCCTGGGGCAGCATGTGTGTGGCTGGAGTTTGAATTTCAGGCAGCTTCCGCAAGGGTGCCTGAGACTTGGAGTCATCCGGCCCCACTCGGGGCACCCAGCCATGTGCGGGTTTCTGGCCTAATCTGGACTTGGCGCGCCTTCCTGTTCGCTCTCCAAAGCCCGACTGAGGATTCCGCGCCTCCGTGTGTTTCTGCCCAGAGAACCATCTTCAGAGCAGCTGGGTGGGCCCCTGCGAGCTGGGCGCACCATCTTCCTCCGCCTTCGACTAGTTTTACCTGCTACCTAGACTCAAACTGGGGGACTTGGGGCGGAGCCGGGGGTTCCAGCAGCCCCCCTCCCCCACCCGGCCCGCTCTCCTCACACAAGTCCCTGAGAAAGAGCAGGCCCCCAGAGGCACGCGGAACTATTCCTGGAATGGTAAGTATGGGATGTTTACACAAACAGCGCCATAAAGGTTTAACACCCCAGCCCTGCCTTCAGTAGAGCAAGTGGGTATCGCCACGGAACGCCACCAAGCACCCGGGTCTGAGGCAAAACACAGGCGTTCACTCCTCGTGCCCGTGGCATCACCACCCAGGGCGAAACCCCGAGGCTCCCCTGGAAACTCACAAAACACGTCCGACTCCCTGTCTGGTTATCCTTCCTCGGGGAACCCTCACTGGAGCCTGCCCAAAGCTAGAAGGCACCCGTGGAAGAGGAAACACGCGTTTTCAAACCCAAAACACACCGAGAAGAAAGCATCACTCTAGCCTAGCGTTTCCCAAACATTTTTTTTTATTCTCGCCCCTTAGTCTTTTTAGAAACATTTTTTTCTAATACCCCACCCACCCCATGGAATTTTAGTATCACAGAGATACAGTAAATCTGCTTACGTACCTAAATATGCTTTCTGGAACTTTGCAAAGCCACAGCCATTGTAACATCTCAGACTCTGTCCCCAAAACCAATTTTCACCCCACAGAGGTGGCATCACTCCCGCTGAGAATGCCTGCGGTTCAGCTTCTGTGTTAGAAAGTTAAGACTGGCTTGATGTCACCAGGGGCAAATTAGACCCAAAGACAGAAAGCCATGGTCCCCAGTGACAGAGGCCACGCGCTCACAGAACGAGCAGGCGGCCCAGGTGGGCGGCCTCTCTGCCCGTGACTCCGGGGAGCTAAGATGTCTCAGCTCAGCATCGTTTCCCCCGAGACTCCAGGTACCCAGCCCCTTAAAGTCGTGCTTTTCTCTGCAGAAGTCCGTGAATTCATCGTGTGTGTAGTTCCACCAGACAAACTAGAAAACATTTTTCTAGCAGAAATTAGGACTATAATATGAGCCAACAATAAAATCGCAACCATGAGCGTGAGCCCCTAAAACCAGAGCACCTTTATCACTCCCCCTTCCCCAACTCCATGCACATTTTCTAATAGTTCGTCCGATCGGCGGTCACCTCCCACTGGGTTATAAGCTCCATCAGGGCCTGATTCTTATCCATCCTGGTCACTGCCCGACACACAGTAGGTACACACTTAATGTGTGGGATGAATGAATCTGCTCACAAGCAGACAATGACGACTTAGATCAAAGTCTTAAGAAACACATATGGGGAAAATGTAAGCCTTAACGGACAACCTTCTATCAACAGGCAGAATGCAAATCCAGAGCGGATTCAGATTCCATGACTGCACTCCAGGATTCAGCCGCACGTAGCCTGGTAAACACCGCGTTTCAGGGCAGAAATGGATGCCAGACTCACCGAATCACCGTGAGGCTGTCGGGCGACCCTGCCCCTAAAAATACTTTTACTCTGGAAAAGCGCGATTTCCCAGTTTAAGCAGACGGGTTTGCACGGCTGGTCCCCAGTGACTCACTCCTCCTGCAGCCAGCGAGGCCCCTCCTCCTGGCTGGGTCTGCCCTGCAGAGGCCCCGTCCAGGGGGAGCCCGCCGCCCCAACACGACCCACCCAGGTCGACAGGGACGAGACATCGCACTGACTAAGTTTACTTTTTAGATGCGATCACAGAACGTCGTTTACTCTGTCTCTTTTAAAGCATCTTTATCTTTTAAAAATAGAGACTAAATATTTACAGATGAAACTGAACGATGTCAGAGATTTGCCTCAAAATAACTAACTGGTGGGGCCGGGGAGAGGGGGCGGGTGTGCGGACGAAGCGCAGACGGCCGTGGGTGGGAACCGCTGTGACCTGGAGATGACCACCTCTCTGTTTTCACAGATGCTTGAATTTTTTTCAGAATAAAAAGAGGTTGTTTTGTTTTGTTCTGTTTTAATGACTTCACTTAATCTTTCCGGTCCCTTGATCAGCTGATTGATTTAGCACGGGGTGGGGCGGGCGGAGGTAACACAGTTTATTTGTTTATTTTTAGGAGGCACTGGGGACTGAACCCAGGACCTCGTGTGTGCTAAGCATGCGCTCTACCACTTGAGCTACACCCTCCCTCCTCCTTGAATTTTAATAAGGGTTTTGCTTTGTTTTCCTAAATCTGGTCCAGGTTTGATTTCTTTTTGAATCCACTAGGAGAGTGAGCCCCAGACAGCACTGTTCCCGGGGGTCGCACCACGTCGGCCCCAGCCCACCGACGGGCACGGTGCCTGTCTGGTGGCCTGTCCACGCCCCCTCCAGCTCCGCTCAGGAGCTGTGTCCTCCTGCCCCGCCAGCCCGAGGAGGTCGCAGCCCACCCCCTTCCCTTGTTCCGAGAACATTTCCTGTTGCTATGCTACCCTTTACAGTGGGGAGCACACCCTGGCCTTGCAAATAACCCGTTAACTCAACTTCCCCCGAGTTACCCATCTGGCCCCTACGGGGGCTGGACTGACACAGGCCGGAGTCTGGGTCTGCAGGTTCCCAAACTTCAGCACATTTGGGCCGAGACCACCCCTCTGGTCGTCTCTGCCTTCAGTTAAACACAGAGAGGATGGAAGACACCAGGATCTCAGGGGCCGATGTGGCGATTCTGAAATCTGCAGGCGAAACACTGACTTCCAGCGTGTGGAGGGATCAGCTCTGATCCTTGAGCCGAAGAAGCCAGCACACGGGGACCCCATAAAGGGGCCTCGTGAAGACTCCATTCTGAGTATCGGGGGCCCACGGTTAGACCTAGTCATACAGGGAAGTAAAAAAAAGTTTTTAAACTGCAAATATTCTATAGTAAATGAACCATTTGTCTAGCTAGTTCGGCCCAAAAACTCCACTTAACTCTGGAGCCCAGCCTCACCCTCGCCATCGGAGCCGCGTTCATGCTGACCGCCAGCACAGCAGCAACAAACCGCTGGAAACGCCAAGCAACACACACCCCTTCTTTTTGCTCAACCATCAGAAGGTACGTCATGACACTCGCCTCGAGATGCTCTAGGGTGCGTCTTCTACAAGGAAAGCCTGTCCCCTCCGTCACAGCCACACCGCCATCTGGCTCAGAAAGCTAACGTGGCTTCCATACGTGATCTGGCGCCCGGCCCACAGGCCAGTGTCCCCGGTGTCCCCGCGGTGTCCTCCAGAGCTCTGCTGCCTTCCAGTCAAGGGGAGGGCTGCACCCCATCTGACTCCCGGGTCTCATTCCCCCCCGAGCTGGCAGAGCCCCCACTCCTCCTACTGCATGGACGTTCCCCAGTCCAAACCAAAGTTTTGCAGAATGTCCCTTGACTGTGTCCTGATGGGGGCTTCTGGTCAAGCACCTGGGGGCAAGATGACCCCACCGGCCACGCTGACTCCTTCCCACTGCTTCACTTCGGGGGACGCAGGATGTCAGCCTGTCCCGATGCTGGATGAGACCTGTTGGTGGGAGTGAGGTTGACAACAACTCTGCTCTTGGGGACCTCCTCACCTGGTGATCAGCAGGTAGCCCGTGGGGTGACAGTGAATGACAGCCCTGTGCCCCCAAGGCCCTTCACCCAGTGGTGCTGGCACAGAGGATGAATCAGTGACTACACCAAGGGCTGCAAGATCGTGGATTCTGACTCTGTCATTGCTCCTGCCTTGATTGCTCGGCGTTAACTCTACAAAGAAGTGGAGACATTTCAGCCGAGTCAGCCTCCAGGAATGCATCCTTCTGAAGCACCTGAGTGTCCATCAACGAGACACTGACACCCTGAGGGCCAGCCTCAGCCCGTCTCTGCCCGCTGGAGCTCTGGGCTGCATGTCCCCTATGGAGGAGGAGTGGGAGCAGGTGACCCTGCCCCGTCCAGCTCAGGTGGCTGGTTTGAAGGCATCAGTTATCCCAGTCGCTCGTCTGGCAGGAAGAGAATCAGTAAGAACTCAACACTCCTTGTACTGCGGGGCCAGGGGAGGGGAGACTTGGAGGACCGCTGTGTGCAGGCGGTGCTGCAGGGACCAGCTAAGCCCCGCCCAGGACCTGTGGACGGTCAGGCGTTGCCCCAGGCAGGTGTCACTTGGGCCCTGAGTGGTCCACACAGGGCGGGGCGTGGGGCTGGGGAATGCATCCCAATGCATTAAACTCACGTGCTGACTCCACCCCCAACCCTGCAGAGGGATTTAAAGGACATTATGGTTCCACCACGTCTTTTCAACCTCACAAAACCCATGAACAGGTGAAGAGGATCGTGCACAAAACTAAAACGGAACGAAGTCAGCAGTGCCTGCAAGTGCAGACGCCAGAATGCTATCAGTGCGATTCCACTGGTCTGCTTCTGATCCTGCGTGCAACTTGCTAATTATCTCAGAGGCAGATCACGGGAGAATGTCCAACCACCTTGTGAAGGGATAAAGCCAGCGAGCGCTTAACATCTCACGTTCCAGGGCTTCGCGCTTTATGTAAACCATGAGCTAAGCACTCACGGAGCCCCTCGGACATCGGGACAGCCGGCACCCCTCTTAGAAAGGAGGACGCAGGCACGGAGGGAGCCAGGCACGTGCTAAGCTCACCAACGAGCTTAAGTTACACATAACGGCCCATCTTGGGGAACCTGCCTCCCAGGGAATGCGCGTTAAGCTAAAACATCTTGGTTGAGCTCACAGGGAGCACCCTGACCAGGCCCCCTGGGAACGACCGCAGGAAGGACGAAATTAACACACCCCTCGGGAGGCTGACCGGACCCAGGAAACGCCTGACTTTGCTCCCTCCCCTCTGAGTATAAAAGAAGTCTGAATTCTAACTCAGGGAAGATGGTTCTTTGGGACACGAGTCCGCCATCTTCTCCATCTGCTGGCTTTCCGAAGAAAGTCGCTATTCCTCGCCCCCAACAACTCGCCCCTCAATTTACTGGCCTGTCGGGCAGTGAGCAGGAGGAGCTGAGCCCCGGAAACAGCCATAAATACGTGTTCCTGGATTTCACTGGAAAGTCCGTTTCTGTCTGAACCTTCCGCAGAGAGAGCTTAAATAAGTACGTGGGGGCCACGAGTGGGTCCACCTTTCACTCAGAATCTCGGGTTTGGAGAAATTTCCCCCAAAGAGTCGAGAAGGGATGTTTCGGAGGAAAGTCGGTTGCGTCTTCCTTTGCGACTTTCTCAAAGAGAGGCCCAGAACCTGGCCTTCCTCCGGGTCTACAGGTGAACCACGGCCGCGTGCCGCCCACCCAGCCCTCCCCCAGGGGTCTGCAGGAGGACGGCCCCTCACATCAGGCGTCGGGGGAGGCGCTTCATCGGAGAGACACGAGACCGCAGGGCGCAGGCGCCGGCACCACGGGGAGGTATTTGCCATCTACCCTCCATCTGTAGGTGGGGCAAACAGCCGCTGCTCCCCACCACCGATGACGCCAGACCCCAGCTGCAGCTCACCCCCGGGCTCCCCCCACCGGCAGGTGGAGCGGACTTGCAGGAATGGCCCTCCCTGCACCCATCAGCGCTCCCAGTCTCCGTCCAGTGGGGCCAGGAAGCGGGGCCTCGCTGGGGCCCCGAGGAGAAGGCGCTGGATGGCTCCTTCTGAGATGCAGGGCCCTCTCCCGAGCCCCCACTCTGGGCCGGGCGCTGCGCCAGGTGGCCGGGAACGGAGCTGGATCCGAGCCGGCCTGCTGCCCTCCACTGAGCCCCTGTCTGGGGTGGGTCTGCCCTGCCAGAAGTGGTTCCATCCTCCAAACACTAACTGTAGAAACAGTCCCTTGGGCTCACACCTCGTTGGCACCTTCTCTGCACGGGCCCTGGGCTCTGCCCTCCTGCTCCCTCCCAGCGACCCCGTGAAAGGGAGGAGCGGGCCCCCCTCCCCGATGATATTTCCACCTTCCCTAATCGCTCCCTGGGGAACCGGCCCCTCCCCGTGGTCTGAGTAGGGCTGACCCACCCCTGAACCCTACAGGGTCACATGAGCAGACGTGGCCAGTGAGAGAGCAGGATCAGAGAGCGGGATCCTCTCGCACCATGACTGGGGGGCCAGGATGGGCGCTTGATCTGAGTGGGCCAGTCACAGACCTCCCTGGGCTTTGAATGAAACTGACTTTTCATTCACGAAAGAGACTCACTTTCCTTCTTGAGATCTCAGGACCCAAACCCATGTGGGCCTGAAGCTACAAGAGCTAGCCGTGCCTCGATGGAGGGGTCTGCCTGGAAATGAGCCAACACAGAGGAGGGCAGAGGCAGGGGACAGAGAGGCCAGGTCAAGACAGATCCTCTGGGTCCCTGGATCCAGCCATGCCTGAAGCCAGCCTACGGCCCTTCTTAGTCCCACGAGCCCTTAGTTCCCTGGCCTTCTGCCTAAGCTGATGCATCCCACACAGTCTTGACTGATGTAAGCATGTGCTGCCGGCCTCGCATCCCACAGAAGTGGAAACTGAGGCTCAGAATAATCGAGTCACTTGTCCAAGGCCACACAGCTAGCGAGGTGGAACCCACACGGTCATCACTGCGCTGTCACATGCCCCAGGACTTGCCGGACCCCCAGTGTAGGAGTCCCTGCATCTCCCTCGCTCTGATAGTGGCATCACAAGTCCTCTGGCACACACCGAGGTCAGCGCCTCGCAAACCCGCACGCCCTCTCCCCGCTCCATGCCGTGCGGCCCCAGGAGACTCACTTGGTGTTGGCTGGCGGGATGTTGCTCAGGTAATAGTGCATGGAGTGGTAGAGGAGGCCCACGACGGTGGTCCAAGCTGGGGAAAGAACAGATGGCAGACACCTGTCAGCACCCCGGGGGACACGCGGGAGAGACACAAAGCCCTCGCCAGGCCCGCTCGCCCAGTGACACGCAGCGTGGACCTCACATCCAGGAGCCGGGCAGCTCCCGGGGAGGGGGGGAGGTGGGGAGGGAGCCCAGGGTCAGAGCTGGCGAGAGCCCACTCCACTCTTCGACTGTGAATTCAACCGTGGCGACCGCTCCCCGCCTCCCGCCCGAGCCAGCTCTCGCCGCACAGACGCTGCGGCTCCCGGGGGAGCCGGACCCGCCAGGAACAGCACG